TCCGGCGTGAACGCGTGCGCCTCGCCGCCCAACGAGGCGAGGAACTTGTTCGAGTAGTACGCCACGTGCCCGAGAACAAAGGCGGGGTGGTTCGTCTGCACGCCCTCGGGACGCTGCGCGAACATCTCGGGCGTCGCCCCGTCGAGAAGGTTGTGGTAGTAGCCCTGGATCAAACGGACTGTCGGGACGATGGCCTCGGCGACGGGATGGACGGAAGTGGCGGTCATGGGAGGGCTCCGGGGCTGGCGGTCCCGCTCGGCGGGGATCCGGGTGCGTAAGATGAGGACGATGTCGAAGACGCTGACCATCGCCCGGTCCGCGCGCCGCCGCAGGCAGCTGCGGACGCTGCTCCGAACCTTCGGGCTCGGGATGCTATTCGCCTCGTTCGCAACGGGCGCGGCGGCGCTGGTCGACCGCGGTTTCGCGCTCGGGCTCGCGTGGCCGGTCCTCGCTGCGCCGGGCGCGTTGACGCTGCTCGGGTTCGTGACCCCGGCGCTGCTCCGCCGCGAGCCGCTGGAGCGCGCGACGATCGAGCTCGATCAGAACCTCGGGCTCGCCGACCGCGTGACGACGGGCGTCGCCTTCGCCGGGCTGGACGACGCCGGCCCGTTCGAGACGCTGGCTCAGCGCGACGCGGAGGCCGCGGCCGAGGCCGCCCGCCTGCGCGAGGGCGTGCCCGTGCGCGCGACGCGCGTCCACCACTGGTGGCCGCTGACGACGGCCGCGGCCGTGGCGCTCGCCGTGTGGCTCCCCGCGCTCGCGCCGCGCGGCGCCGCCCAGCGGGTCGAGACCGCCGCTCAGCGGCAAGAGCGCAGCGAGGCGCAGGAGCAGATCAGCTCGGCGCTCGAGGACGCGGCGCTCGCGCTCGAGGAGCAACCCGAGCTCTTTAGCGAGCAGACCAGGCGCGAGCTCGAGGCGCTCGAGCGCATCGAGGAAGAGCTCGCGTTCCAGAACGCCGACCCGGAAGAAGCGCGGGCGCAGGCCGCCGAGGCCTTGGCCGACGCCGCGGAGGAGATCGAACAGCTCGCCCAGGCCGACGAACGCGCCGTCGACGCCACCAGCGACCGGTTCGAGCGAGCGGGCGGCGCCGAAGACCCGCTCGGCGACGCGCTCGCCGAGGGCGATTTCGCCCGAGCCGCGGACGAGTTGGCGGCGCTGGAAGAATCGCTGGCCGGCGCTACGCCCGAAGAGCGAGAACGCCTCGGCGAACGCCTGCGCGAGGTCGCCGAGAACATCGACACCTCGGACGCGGACCAGCCCCCTACCGCCGAGGAGCGCCTTGCGCAGGAAGGGATCGATCCCGCGCTCGCCGAGGAGATCGCCGCGCAGGACGACGGGGAAGCGGTCCGCGAGCGGCTCGAGCGTGAGGGGGCCGACCCGATCGAAGCCCAGCGCATCGCCGAGCAGCTCCGTCAGGACGCGCAGGAACGCGAGGCGCAGGAGCAGGCGCAGCGCAACGCGCAGGAGTTCCGCGAGGCGCTCGAGCAAGCCGCGGGGCAGTGCGAGAACCCCGGCGAGGCGTCGGGGGAGAACCCGAGCGCGCCCCCGGGCGAGCAGGGCGAACCGAACGCTGGTGAACAGGGCGGTGATCAGGGCGGCGACGCGGCGACGCAAGGCGGCGCGGAAGAACGGCCCGGTCAGCCCGAGCAGCAGGGCCAGCCCGGCGCGAGCGGGCTGCAGGAAGCCCAGCGCCTGGCCCGCGAGCTCCAGGAGCAAGGCGACAGCGCCGGGGCTGGCGAGACGCTCGCCGAGCGGCTCCGCGAGCAGGCGAACGGGATCAGCCAGCGCCCGAGCTCCGGGGACGGCTCGGCTCCGGAGGCCGGCGTCGGATCGGCGCCTCCGACACGGACAACGCCCCCGCCCCCGAACCGCTCGCTGCAGACCGATTCGGTCAACGCGCGGCGCGGGGCGGACAGCACGCGCGTGACCCAGGAGATCGAGGCGCGGGGCCCGGCGCTGCCCGAGCGCCGCGCGACGAGCGAGCAGGCGGAGCGGACGCTGCGCGAGGCCGCGCCCAGCGCCGAGCGCGCGATCGAGAGCCAGGGCGTCCCGGCCCGCTACCGCGAGATGGTGCGCCGCTACTTCCGCCAGAGCCAGCGCCCCGCCCCGCCCGCGCTGGCGCCCGAACAAGACGACCCGTCATGAGCGTGCGTTTCGATCAGCCGGCGTGGCTGCTCGTCGCCCTGCTGGCGATCCCGGCGCTGGTGATCGCGCTGCGCTGGCTGCGCGGGATGAGCCGCTGGCGTGCGTGGAGCTGCGCGCTGGCCCGGGCGACGCTGCTGGTTCTTGTGGCCGCGGCGCTCGCGGGAGCGAGCGCCGTTCGGACCAGCGAGCGGATCGCAGTGATCGCGCTCGTCGATGTCTCCGACTCTCTGCGTCGCGACGCCGCGGGCGACGCGCTCGGGCGGGCGAGGGCGTGGATCGGCGCGCTCGCGCAGACGATGGATCCCGACGATTTCCTCGGGGTCGCCGCGTTCTCGGGGCGCGCCGTCGCCGTGGCCGCGCCCGCGCGCGGCGGGCTGGAGGCCGACGACCTCACGCTCGATCTCGATCTGGGCGACGCGACGGATCTCGCGGGCGCGATCGAGCTGGCGGCCGCGATGGCGCCGCCGGACGCCGTCGCGCGCGTGGTGATCTTCAGCGACGGCGTGGAGACCGCGGGCGAGGCGCTCGCCTCCGCGACCGCGCTCGCGACGGTGCGCGTCGACGCGGTCCCGGTCGAGTACCGCGTGGGCAGCGACGTGATCGTGGAGCGCGTGCTCGCGCCGCAGCAGGCGGTCCGCGAGTCGAGCGTGCCCGTGCGCGTCACGCTGCGCTCGGCGCGCGAGGTCGCGGGCTCGCTGCTCCTCAAACGCAACAACGAGTTCATCGATCTCAACGGCGACGCCGAGGGTCTCGGGCTGAGACTCACGCTGCGGGCGGGGGAGAACACCGTGCTGCGCGACGTGCCGCTCGGCGACGGCGGCGTGCACCAGCTGGAGGTGTTCTTCGACCCCGACGACCCAGGGCTGGACGCCGTGAGCGCCAACAACAGCGCCGGGGCGGTGGTGATCACGCCGGGGCGGGGGCGGGCGCTGCACATCGACGGCGCCGAGGGCGGGGGCGGGCGGGCGCTCGCGGGCGTGCTGCGCGACGCGGGGTTCGAGGTCACGGGCGTCGCGCCCGAGGAGGCGCCGACCGGGCTGCTCGAGCTGCACGCGTACGATCTCGTGGTGCTGCACGACGTCGCCGCGGACCAGACGCCCCGCGCCGCGCACGCGGCGCTGGCGAGCTACGCGCAGCGGCTCGGCGGCGGGCTTCTCGTGGTGGGAGGGCCCGAATCTCTCGGCGCGGGGGGGTGGAACGGGACCCCCCTCGAGCCGGTGCTCCCGGTGAAGCTGGACCTCCCCGAGGATCTGATCGTCCCTTCCGCGGCGATCGTCATGGTGCTCGATTCGTCGGGTTCGATGTCGTCGCGCGTGATGGGCGGCTCGCGCTCGCAGCAGGAGATCGCCAACGAGGCGGCGGCGCTCGCGGCGCAGACGCTCGATCGCACAGACCTCGTCGGCGCGATCGGCTTCGCCGACGGCCCCTACACCGTGGTCCCGCTGGGCCCGAACCGCGACCCAGACGCCAACGGACAACGGCTGCGCTCGATCAGCTCGGGCGGGGGGACGAACATGTACCCCGCGATCCGCGAGGCGGGCGAGTGGCTGCTCGCGGCCGACGCGGAGGTCAAGCACATCATCGTCCTAAGCGACGGGCAGAGCAGCGGCAACGCCGAGTCGGGCGTCGAGCACGCCGAGCGGATGCGCGAGTCGGGCCTCTCTATCACGACGATCGCGGTGGGCGACGGCGCGGACCACGTCACGCTCCAGCGCATCGCTCAGGCCGGCGGGGGCGAGTTTTACGCCGTGTCCAACCCGAACCTGTTGCCGCGGATCTTCGTGCGCGAGATCCGCATCGTGCGGAAGCCCCTGGTGCGCGAAGAGCCCTTCACGCCGATGCTGCTCCCGTCGGGTTCCCCGATCACCAGCGGGCTCGGCGCGCTCCCGGCGCTGCAGGGGCTCGTGCTCACCCAGCAGCGCCCGGAGCCCGAGATCACGCTCGCGATGGCGACCGGCTCGGGCGAGCCGGTGCTGGCGCACTGGAACACGGGGCTCGGGCGCGTCGCGGTCTTCACGTCAGACGCCCACAACTGGGCGTCGGGGTGGTTGGGCTGGCCGGGGTTCCGCGCGATGTGGACCCAGGCGGCGCGGTACGCCGCGCGCCCGCCTATGTCGCGCGACGCGGAGCTGGGCGTCGCCCTTGAGGGCGACACGTTGTCGCTCCGCCTCGACGCCGCCGACGACGACGGAGCGCCGATCAACCTGCTGCGCGTCCCCGCCGTGGTCTACACGCCCGACGGCAAGAGCGTGAGCGTCGAGCTCGCGCAGACCGGCCCCGGGCTCTACGAGGCGAGCGTGCCGGCGAGCGCGAGCGGGACCTACGTGGTGGCGGCCACGCCGCGCCGGGGCGAGCAGGCGCTCGCGCCCTCGCTGGTCGGGGTGTCCAAACCGGCCGGGCTCGAGCTCCGCTCGCTCGAATCAAACGCGCCGCGTCTGGCGCAGATTGCTGAAGCGACGGGCGGGGGCGTGTACGACCTCGACGACCCGGCGCGGGCGTCCGAGATATGGGACCGCTCGAGCGTCGAGCCGGTCGCCGCGGCCACGCCGCTCTGGCCCTTGCTGCTGCTCTGGGCTCTCGGGGTGTACATGGTGGACATCGCCACCCGGCGCGTGGCCTGGGACCGGCTCCTGAGGCGCGAGGTCGCGACGGCGCGGAGGCTGACAGAAGGGGCGCAGGGCACGACCGCGGCCGCGTGGAAAGCCGCCAAACGGCGCACGGAGCCGACGCCCCCCTCGGCCCCGGCGGAGGCCCCGGCGCCCGCGGCGGGCGGTGGCGAGCTCGCGGCCCGGCGTCGGCGGGTGGAGAACGCGATCCGCCAGACGTCCGGCGAGGCCCCGGGCTCGCCGGACGTCCGGGAACCCGGCGGGGAGGCGGAGGCGGACGCCCGCAGCGGGCTGCTCGCCGCCAAGCGCCGGGCGAGCCGACGCTTCGACGAACACGAAGAGACCTGAGGCGTCAGGATCCGTACAATCCGGCTCCACCGTCTGAAAATGCCGCGCGTGCGGCCTCGACACGGAATACCGCTCCCCCGCGGCCCGTTCACCCTTTCGGCGAAGGGACTCCTCGTTGGAGCGTTCCCGTTTCGAATCGCTGGCGCTTGAGCACCTCGACGCCCTGCACCGCATGGCGATGCAGCTCACGCGCCGTCCCGAAGAAGCCGCGGACCTCGTGCAGGAGACCTACCTCCGCGCTCTGAGGGCGTCGGCACGTTTCGAGGAGCGCGGCGGCGGGATCCGAGCCTGGCTCTTCACGATCCTGCACAACACGTTCTACTCGCAGGTCAAGCGGGCGAAGCGGGGCCCGATCGCCGTTGATGAGTTCTTCGACGCCGAGTCTTCAGAGACCACGCCGGGCGAGGCCCCGGCGGCCTGGAACCTGGGTTCCCTGGACTGGGAGCACGTCGACGACCGCCTCAAGTCGGCGATCGAAGACCTGAAGGACGAGCACCGCGAGACGCTCCTGCTCTGGGGCGTGGAGGGGCTCAAGTACCGCGAGATCGCCGACATCACCGGGGTGCCGATCGGCACGGTGATGAGCCGGCTGCACAGGGCGAGGAAGATCCTCGCCGATCAGCTGACTGAGTTTTCCGACGAGCTCGGCGTGAGGCCGGGCAGAACGAGCGACGCATGAACGACGACCGCCCCAACCCGAACCCCGGCGCGAACGACCGCGCCATCGACTGGTCCCGCGAGCCGGTCGTCGCGCGCCTCCGCGCGCTCGCCGACGACGAGCTCCCCCCCGACCACGCCTCCGACCTGCGCAACGAGGTCGACGCCGAGACCATCGCCCGCGCCGACTCGTTCGAACGCGCGCTGCGCCGCGGCTGCGCCGCGTGCATGGGCGACGCCGCCGCCCCGGCCGGCCTTCGCGAGCGCGTCCTCGGCGCCATGCGCGCCGACGGCTCCGACGCGGCGGCGGCGAGCGAGGCGGGCGAAGCGACGCCCGCGGTCATCAGCCGCACCGACCGCTCCTTCTGGACGCAGGGCCGCGCCCTGCTGGGCGTCGCGGCCGCGATCGCGATCGCCGCGGTCGTGTGGGTGCTCGCCCCCGGCGGCGCCGACTCCGACGACCCCGCAGCCCTTTTCGCGACCGCGGCCCGCCACATCAGCGGCGAGCACACCGGCTGCCTCCTCGACGAGGACTACCTCGACCGCAAGATGAGCCTCACGGGCTCCGAGCCCTCGGATCAGACCGGCGCCGCCCTCATCGGCGAGCAGATCGGGGACCTCCCCGTCAGGCTGGAGCTCGGGCAGGCCGGCTATGTCCTCAAGGGCGTCGGCGGCTGCCAGATCCCCGGCGGCAAGTCGGTCCACCTGCTCTACGAGCCGGAGAACCCCGCGGGCTCCCGCCCGGTGTCGCTCTTTATCCAGGAAGCCACGACGGCGCAGGACTGGATGGACGAGGGTTCGCTGTACGTCAGCGAGCTCGACACGCCCCCGTACGTGCGGATGTGGCGCGAGAGCGGCATCGTCTACTACATGGTCACCGACTGCCCCGTGAGCTGCGAGAAGGTCGAGAACGCCTACGCCCTGTCCGGGCAACGCATCCCACTCTGAGCCGACTCGTTTGCGACCAATAACAACCTTTTGACCAAGGCCTGAACGAACCGGGCCGCTCCGGCGTCGATACAGTTGTAGGTTGACCGGAGGTTGTCCCATGCGCGTGTATCTGCCCATCGTTCTGAGCTCGTTCCTGCTCTCGTCCTCGCCCGCGCTGGCTCAGAACGCACTGGGCGACGGCTCGGCGCTCGACGGCAACCTGCGACAGGGCTCGCAGGGGCGGAACGCGCCGGCGCGCAACTTCGAGCGCGAGCTGCGTCTCCGCAACGCGATCGTCACCGGGAACGCGGCCGGCGGGAAGAGTTTCCGCGGCGACGTCGGCTACGGCGCCGTCGACGATTTCCGCGGCGAGGAGCTCGCGGGGGACGACTTTTTCGCGTTCGAGCGTGATTCGTATTTCTCGGTGGTCTCTGGGCAGGGCGTCCGCGGCGCCGACGCGCTGCGCATGCAGATGCAGCTGACCGTCGGCGGCTTTGTCGGCGAGGGCGACTTCCTCCCCGAGCCCATCGTGAACCGGAGCCAGAACCCGACGCTCGCGCGGGATGTCGCGGGCGGCGCCGGGGACGCAGAGCTCCGCGACCGCTACGGTTCGGCGGACCCGCTGCAGCACCGGCGCGGCGCGCTGCGCGCAACGAGCGAGTACGTCGCCCAGACCGCGTCGGCGCCTATCCTGCTGCGCGTCACGCCCCCCGAGAACCCGGGCGACCCGACCCTCTACACCGTCACGACGCCGCTCCGCTCGATCGTGGAGCAGCCCGAGGTGCGCCCCTCGCGCCGCCTGTCGGATCTGTACGAGCAGATCGAGCGCATCGAGAACCGCGAGACCAACGCGGCGCCGACCAACCGCCTCGACGCGGAGACGCACCAGAGCGAGCACCAGGCGATCCTCGAGCGTCTGCTCGAACGCCCCGCGCCCGACCACCCCGCCGGCGACGTCGGCGAGCCGGCGCCGGGCGACGAGCCCGAGCCGGGGGCGGGTCCGGGCGAGCTCGTGCCCGAGTCCGACCTGCTCGCTCGCCTGCGCGAGCTGCGCGAAGACCTCATGCGCCCGAGCACGGACACGCCCGAGTACGGCGGGAACGAGGAAGCGAGCGACGACGCGGTCGAGGCGCTGCGCGAGCGCATCGCCTCTGACGCGCAGCGGATCTTCGAGAGCGGTGTGATCGACGTCGATTCGATCGCGCCCCCGAGCCAGGACGAGGCGAGCGTGTTCGCGACCCACATGCGCCGCGGGCAGGAGCAGCTCGCGAGCGGCGAGTGGTTCGCCGCCGAGGAACGGTTCACCAGCGCGCTGGGGCTGCGTCCCGGCGACCCGATGGCCGCGGTCGGGCGCGTGCACGCGCAGATCGGCGGCGGGATGTTCCTCTCGGGCGGGCTGAACCTGCAGAAGCTCTTCCGCGCGCACCCCGAGCTCATCAACGTGCGCTACGACGCCGCGCTCTTGCCGATGGGCGACCGCCTCGGCGAGATCGAGGCGTTGTTGCTGCCGCGCCTGCGCGGCGAGGACGATTTCGCGCGCGGGGCGGCGGTCGTGCAGGCGTACCTGGGCTTCCAGGCTGAGAACCCCGTCTGGATCGAGCGGGGGCTGACGCGCGCGCGGGAGATCGACGAGGCGAACTCCCGCCGCCCTGACTCGCTGATCGACGTGCTCGAGCAGGCGTGGCTCGCGGGAGACGAGTGAGACAAGCCGAGTCCATCACCGAGTTCCTGACCGACGGGTCGCTCGCGCGTCTCTGCGCCACGCTTGAGGGGCTGGTCGGGGCGCCGGTGGCGCTGCGCGATCGCATCGGTCGCGTCATCGCGAGCAGCGCCGAGGGCGTCACGCTCGAGCGGGGCGTGGACTTCGGCGGTTTCTCGGCTCCCATCCGGGTCTCGGGGCGTTCGATCGGGGCGCTGACGCTCGACGCCGACGGCGCGAGCGAGCGGACGGAAGAAGCGGAGCGCTTTCTCACGCTGCTGGCGTCGATCGTCAGCGAGCTCTGCGAGCGCGAGGTGGATCTGAGCGAACAGCTCGAGCGCCTCGAGGCGCTCCAGACCGTGACCTCCACGCTGGTGGGCGCCGGCGGGGTGCAGGAATCGATCGACGTCGGCCTGCGCACCGCGATCGAGCTCCTCGGCGCGGACGCCGGCACGCTCCGCCTGCTCGACCCGTCCGGGCGGACGCTCCTGCCCCGCGCGGCCTTCGGGCTGAGCGAGGCGTACCTCGACAAAGCCGGGCCGCTGCCCGCGGACAACGCGCTCGACCGCGCGATCCTCGCCGGGCGGGTGGTCGCCGTCGCCGATTTCGCCGAGAGCGAAGCCATGGCGCACCAGCCCCACGCGGTCCGCGACGAGAACCTCAAAGGGATGCTCAGCGTGGCCTTGGTCTTCCAGGGCGAGGCGCTGGGCGTGCTGCGGGTGTACACGCGCACGCGGCGCGAGTTCACCCCGGCCGATCAGGAGCTCTTCCGCTCGATCGCGCGCCAGATCGCTGCGGCTGTCGCCAACGCCCGGCTGCTCCAGCTCGAGGCGCGGTCCGTCGCGGTGCGCGAGCAGGTGCGGCTCGCCGGGCGGGTGCAGAAGCGGATGCTCCCGACCTCGCTCCCCGAGCTCCCGCCGCTGTCCTTCGGCGCGGTGTGCGAGAGCAGCTACGACGTCGGCGGGGATTTCTACGACGTGTTCGTGCGCGACGGTCGGGCGGCGCTGATCGTCGGCGACGTCGTCGGCAAGGGCGTCGCGGCGGCTCTGCTGATGGCGAACCTGCACGGGACCCTCCGCGCGTACGCCGAGACCGACGACGACCCGGCGTCGGTCGTCGCCGCGACCAACCGCGCGCTGGCCCGCGACAGCCTGCTCAGCGAGTTCGCCACGCTCTTCCTCGGTTACGCCGACCCGGCGAGCGGGCGCCTCGTGTACTGCAACGGCGGGCACGAGCCCCCGCTGGTCGTGCGCGTGCCGGAGCACCGCCCCCCCACCCGCGCCGATGTCGACGAGCTCGACGTGGGCGGGATGGTCGTCGGGGTCGACCCGTCGCAGCGCTACCAGACCGGCGTGTGCGATCTGCGCCCGGGCGACGTACTCCTCGCGTTCTCAGACGGGCTCAGCGAGGCGATGAACTACGACATGCGCAAGTTCACCCGCGAGCGCGCCCGCGACGAGCTGCTCGACTACTTGGGCGAGCACCCCGACGCGAGCGCCGAGAGCGTGTGCAAGCACATGCTGTGGGCGGTGCGCCGCTACACCGGGCTCGCGGAGCAATCCGACGACATCACGATCGTCGCGCTGCGCGTCGGGCGTTAGCGCCGGCGGCGCGCGACGACCCCCACCGCTATAGCGGCAAGCCCCGCTGCTCCGGGCGCTGGGACGGTGAAGAAAAGCTCGTCGCGCTCGACCGGAGCGCCGAGCGACTCGTTCCAGTGAACGACTGCGCCGCCCTGGAAGAGAAGTGACGAGAATCGCCCGCTCTCGACGCCGGCCTGCGCAACCGAGGTGAATTCCTCGTGTTCGCCGAGCACGGTCATCTGCGCGATCATCACGCCGTAGAGGCCTGTTTCTCCGTCGTAGAGGTTGTACTCGTTCCCCGCCGTTCCGGCGTAGATCGCTCCCGCGCCGTCAGGGTTCGGAACGGGCGTGATCGCCCAAACACCATCATCAAAGCCCGTTGGCGAAAGCGTCGCGCCGTCGTCTTCGAAGATGATCGGCCCGATGTTCTGATACCCGGTGAACGGCGGGGTGCGCACCACCGTCCCGACCGTCAGGTACGAGTCCCACTGAACCGAAGGGACGAACTCAAACGCGCTCTCGTTGATGTTGTTGACGCCGTCCCCGCCGAAGGCGTCCTGGTACAGCGACGACTCGGCCCTCGTCCGGATATATGAGAGCTCCGCCGTATCTCTCCGATCGAACCCAGACAAGAGAAGCGTGTCGTCGGCTTCATCGAAGAGGACGTACATCCGCGTGACCGTCACGGGCTCGCCGATCGCGGCGCTTGCGGCAGCGTTCCACTCGTCATTCGTAAGCGTCACTCCACCGCGCAAGGCTGCTGAAGCAACGCCGACGAAGAAGACCGGCGCGACCGCGCCTGTCAAAACCGTCTTGTTTATCACGTGTCTCTCCCTCCCTGTGAACCGCGCGCCGCCGATGTCCCCCCGACGACGCGCAACGCGAGCTTATCGACGCCGGCGTGCGGCGAACGCCCCGGCGCACACGAACAGCCCCGCGGCGCCGGGGGACGGGTCGAGGTTGCCGACCGTGACGCCGTTCACCGCGTTGTTCGAGCCGCCGGCGGAATCGAGCCAGTTCACGTCGAGCACCCCGCGCCCGAAGAGGAGCGAGCCGATGAACCCGTCGCCGATCGTCGCGTAGTTCCGATCGGGGAAATACCCGCCGACGACGAATCGCCCGGCCCACACGCCCCACAGCCCGCCGCCCAGATCGAGGCCGTCGCCGGCGACGCCCTGACGCGAGCCGTCCTGACCGGGGATGTCGAACCAGCCGCCGCGCACGCCGGTCTCGGTCCACTCGAAATCCGGGTCGGTCGTCGTCGCACTGTCGCCGAGGGAGGGTCCGCCGATGCCGACGTAGCTGTCCCACTCGGTCTCGGGGAACGCGCCGAACGCGCCGGGGTTGACCTCGCCGTCGGTGTCGGGGTCCGCGCCGAAGAGCCCGCGCTGCACGAGGGGCACGCCCGGGACGCGCACGCCGAAGTTCGCGTTGCCGATCGAGTTGAGGATGTCGTCGGTCTCGTCGAAGACGATGTAGAGGTCTGTCACCGTGGCGTCGAAGCCGAGCGTGGCGCTCGCCTGGGACGAGAGCGTCTCGTCAACGATGATGGTCCCGCCGACGAAGGCGGCGCTCGCCGCTCCCGCCGCACTGAGCAGCGCCGCTGAAACGAGTGCGATGGTTTTCATAGCATGCTCCCGAACGCTTTGAGAACTAGCGACGCCGGCGCGCCGCGAACGCGCCGGCGCAACAGAACAACCCCGCCACGCCTGGCGACGGAGAGAAACCCACGACCAGCGGACCGCTCGCGATATTGGATCCACCCGCGGCGTCGATCCAATTGACTTCGAGCGTGCCGTTAAACAAGCCGCTAAAGATCCAGCCGTTGGCGTGGCCTTCAAAGCTGTCGCTGAAGTCGCCCTCGAGAACGAACTGACCGGCGAAGACGCCCCAGAGCCCGCCGCCGAGGTCGACCCCGTCGCCCGCCACGCCCTGACGCGAGCCGCCGTCACCGGGGATGTCGAACCAACCGCCTTGCACGCCGTTGGCCGTGAAGGCGAAGTCGGGGTCGGTGGTGGTGTTCGAAGCGCCGGGGAAGGGGCCGCCGATGCCGACGTAGCTGTCCCACTGCGATTCGGGCGCCACGCCCCACGCGCCGGGGTTTAGGTCGTTGTCGGTGTCCTGCACGGAACCGAAGACGCCGGTCTGGATCAGGTTCGACCCGTCGACGGACGCGAAGTTCGCGTTGCCGATGGAGTTGAGGATGTCGTCGGCCTCGTCGAAGACGATGAACAGCTCGAAGACGCGCGACGCGCCGTTGACGGTCGCGGACGACGCGGCGGAAGCTGCCGTGTTCTCAAGCAACGAACCCCCGACCAGCGCGCCGTGGGCGACGCCGCAAGAGAGGAACACACCGGCGAGAGACAACGCGCGTCTCATCTCAAGATCTCCCTGTCTCGCAGGACCATCGTGGTCCTGTAAACAGAGTAGCCCTCGCCACACCCGATGCCGAAGACTCTTTTGATTCTTTGCGTTGCAAAAGCACAAACACCGGCGGGCCCGAAGGGACCCGCCGGTGCGAGATTGACACAGTCAGACTCGTATGCAGGCGAGCCTTAGCGGCGGCGACGACCGGCGGCGACGCCGGCGAGGCCGAGAAGAGCCGCAGCGCCGGGGGCCGGGACCGGACGGATCGCGATGCCGTTGGTCGGGATGTTCGGCGTGCCGGCCGCGTCGATCCAGTTCACGTCGAGCTGGCCGGTGAAGGCGGTCGAGTTGATGAACCCGTCGCCGACAACCGGGCCGGAGTCGCCACGGGCGGGGGAGCCGCCCTCCAGGACGAACTGGCCGGCGAAGACGGCCCAGAGGCCGCCGCCGAGGTCGACGCCGTTGCCGGCGACGCCCTGACGCGAGCCGCCGTCACCGGGGACGTCGAACCAACCGCCCGCGACGCCGGTATCCGAGAAGGCGAAGTCGGGGTCAGCGGTCGTGTTGGAATCGCCCGGGAAGGGGCCGCCGATGCCGACGTAGGAGTCCCACTGCGACTCGGGCACGAAGCCCCAGGCGCCGGGGTTCAGGTCGCCGTCGGTGTCCTGCACGGCGCCGAAGACGCCGGTCTGGATCAGGCTCGCGCCGTCGGTGCTGGAGAAATCAGCGTTGCCGATGGAGTTGAGGATGTCATCGGCCTCGTCGAAGACGATGAACAGCTCGAAGACGCGCGACGCGCCGTTGACGGTCGCAGACGACGCGGCGGAGCTCGCGGCGTTCTCGGCGAGGTAGCCACCGACAAAGGCGGCCTGGGCAGCGCCAGCGACAGCCAGCGCAGAAATACCTGCGAAAGTACGAATCTTCATCTCTTGACCTCCCTGTGCTGGGGCAGTGCAAGCCCCGTGGTCATACCCAAGCATAGCGGCACTCTGAGGCCCCGCCTAATGCTTTCTACGAGTTCGGGCAAATATTCTGGTTCTTCACATCGTCCAAAAACGAACACCGGCGGGCCCCATAAGGACCCGCCGGTGCGAGAATTACGTCTCGTTGCTAGTCAGCGGAGGCTGATTAGCGGCGGCGACGACCGGCGGTGAGGCCGGCGAGGCCGAAGAGCGCCGCGGCACCCGGAGCCGGAACCTTGCGGATCTCGACACCGTTGACGGCGTTGTTGTCGCCACCGGCCTGGTCGATCCAGTTCACGTCGAGAACGCCAGCGAAACCGCCGGAGTTGATGAAGCCCTGGCCGACGGTCGAGCCGTCGTCACGAGCGCCAGCGCCGGCGCCCTCGAGGACGAACTGACCAGCGAAGACGCCCCAGAGGCCGCCGCCGAGGTCGACGCCGTTGCCGGCGACGCCCTGACGCGAGCCGCCGTCACCGGGGACGTCGAACCAGCCGCCGGACACGCCGTCCGCCGAGAAGGCGAAGTCGGGGTCAGCGGTGGTGTTCGAAGCGCCGGGGAAGGGGCCGCCGATGCCGACGTAGCTGTCCCACTGCGACTCGGGCACGAAGCCCCAGGCGCCGGGGTTCAGGTCGCCGTCGGTGTCCTGCACGGAACCGAAGACGCCGGTCTGGATGAGGTTCGAGCCATCGGTGGACGCGAAGGAAGCGTTGCCGATGGAGTTGAGGATGTCATCGGCCTCGTCGAAGACGATGAACAGCTCGTAGACGCGGGAAGCGCCGTTGACCGTCGCGCTGGAAGCGGCGGACGAAGCGCCGTTCTCAGCGAGGAAGCCGCCAACGAAGGCGGCGTTCGCAGCGCCGGCGGCAGCGAGGCCGGCGGCAGCAATCAGAGTGCGGATCATGTTAAATCTCTCCTCTTTCACAGTACTGTGGATGGTTCTGCCGAACGCCAGCGGGTCCATGACCATGGCCTGACGCCCGACGAATCACACGTTGCTCAACCGGAGTGTACTCCCACGCGAAGGGCCGTCCAAGAGCTTCGTCGGGTTTTCCAGGGACATTTTGACCAAGTTCACCCGACCCTCACAGACCGTCGGGCCCGGCCATCGCCCAAACGTAAAAGTCCTGTAACGCGTTAACAGTCAATCTATTACGCAACGACCACCAGATCGAACGCAACGCGACGCCCGACCCGAGCGCCGGGCGAGAATCCGCCAGCGGGGAATGTTCTATTTTTGTTCGGACAACAGCGCCTCGACCTCGATCTTGCGCAGCTCGAAGTACGAGCGCCACTGCTCGTCTTCCTCGAGCAGCAACGCCGCGCGGAGGCGGTCGAGGGAGGCCTCGTCGGCTTCGCCCAGACGGTCCCGCACGCGGATCACGCCGCGGAGCGCCGGGAGGTAGCGCGGGTCGCGCTCCAGGGCGTCGGCGTAGAACCCCGCGGCCTCGCGCAGGTGGCGGGTGCGCTCCCAGGTGAGCCCGAGGTTGTAGAGGGGGCGCGGATCAAACGCGGCGCGCTCGGCGGCGTTGGTGAACGCTTCGGCCGCGTTGATGTAGCGCCCCGCCTCGAGGTGCAGCACGCCGAGATTGTTCCAGGCGGCGGGGAAGTCCGACCACGACGCGACGGCGTCGGCGTAGAAGCGGGTCGCGTCGTCGGGGTCGTCGGCCTGCTGGGCGCGGGCGGCGAGGCGGCGCGCCTCCGCGACGCGCTCGCCCTCGTTGATGGTGATGGTCGTGACCTCGCCGCTCCGCGAGGAGCCGGACGAGCAGCCGACGAGGGCGGCGAGGCAGAGCGCGAGCGCCGCCGGGGCGGGCGCGAGAAGAGTCTTCACTGTTCGATCTCCCAGCGGGAAAGCCGGACGTTGACGCGCCACCCGTCAGTGGACGGGTTGAGGGTCACGCCGCTGACGTACAGCCCGTCGATCTGATCGGTGACGGCCTGCATCCATTCGAGTGTGCGTTCGGTGTCGCCCTCGTTGATCGTCGCCTCGATCGTGCGGAGGAGGAGGGGCGAATCGATCCCGAGGGCGCGCCGGTCGCTGATCTGTCCCAGCTGCAGCGAGCGGACCTCGATGCCGAGCGACACGGCGATCTGCTCGAGACGCGAGCGGATGTTGCGCATCGTGGGGGCGTACTGGCGTTTGAGCTGGCGCTGCGACTCGCTGTCCTGGTAGGCCTCGATCTCGGCCCGGAGGTTCACGAGGCTCTGCATGGTGTTGCGGGCGCCGACCATCCCGGCGCGCGCCCGGGCGCGCTGCGTCGAGGCGTACACCGTGAACGCGGTCGCGGCGATCAGCGCGGCGACCGCGACGGCGACGAGCGCGGCGGGGCGGTTGCGCCGCTCGGCGGCCACGGCCTCGACGCTCGCCTCGAGTCGCCTCTTGCGGTCTGCGGCGCGCGAGATCATTTCCACAGCCCCGTCAGTCGCTGGTTCAGGTTCGGGGGCGCGCCGG